ATGTATAAATTATATATATATATATATAAATTATATATATATATATAAATTATATATATATATATAGATAGTTATAGATATATGTATGTATATCTATATACATAACTACATACACATTTATAATACATTATTACATATACGAAATTTATGTGAGTATATAATTATAAGTATATATATATATATATATATATAATTATGATTAACAACTTACTCATAAATATTGAAGTGATGAACATTTTTATATTACAAGTTTTCTGCTCCCTGTGTTTCAGATACATCCTAATGTTGAAAAACCTACAAGGTGTGATCGCATTCAAACTCAGCTAGCGGCTGCTACCATTAGCGTCTGTGTATCATGGATACAACGACGCTTGAACTCCATTTACAATCAAACAAAAACATAAAATGTAATTGCTGTTGTAAATCTTCAATAGCATTTTTAATAAAAGTACAACGCATATTTTATTTAACATTCACACAGAAACTATGTATTCAACATTGCATTGAAACAATGGCTGATATTTTAGATCGAGCACTTAATATTTACAGTGCTTGTTAAAACTGAAAGACATCGTTGTGTGACAGCGGGTCTAAGACTGTGCTCATTAGGTCAGCGTGTATTACCAAGCCTTTGACACTTTACTAGGTCTTTCTAGAATATTCATGCATCCATTTTCTTATTCGCTCTTAAATTTGGACTGTCTTTCTTCCAACAATATAAGTTTTACGTGTCAACCTGTTATGCACAAATAAGCCGTTGACTCCGATTTCAGCCGTTTTTATTTGCTTTTATAAACATGTCCATTTGAGAACAAACTACAAGGCAGCAGTTGTTTGATTTTGGAGTTGTCTCTCTTTAGTGTAGCTGTAGAGCCTCATTTGCCCGAGGGTTCGAACTTGCGACGTACAGGTTTAGCAACAGTGTGCTATGCCGAGCCGACCACAACAACAGCACTGTTTCCCCATGTTGATATTAGTTTATTTTTTATCTTTTTACTTCACAGAATAATGTTTACACAACAGGCAATGTCTAATTTTTAAATTGGCTAATTTTGTCTGTAACACGATATAATTTAGCTATTGAGAAGGATCGAATGGTTTTTATTGGTGATATTGAATTAGGTTTAATCGACATTCTAATCGCTTTTATTTTAGCAGCCAAGTATTGTTTTAAGGTGCTCTACATCTTGTGCGTGTTGAAAAAAAGGGAAACTACTACATTTGGATTTGAAAGATATGATTTTGGATTCGAATATGTCTTCTAATTGTATTACTTTTAAAACTAAAATTTGATATTAATATTCCATTTCGTTAGTACATTTTTTCCATTGCTTATTAATACTTTTTATATAATCGTCTGCAACATATAAAACAAAAGGTCAGGTGAAACAATGTGCTTAGTAGTTTTATGAGTACACGAAGGATAGAAAATTATGGACATGGAGCAAGTTGTTATCGAAACCATTTTGACAATAATAAACTAGATCATTTTTGGCTTTAAAAAAAAAGAAAGGGAACAAATAAATCTTTTCAGATGTAATAAATTGTGCTCTTTTTTCTTTTAATGCCTGCTATCTTTAATACCAATATAAAATAGTATAGTAAGTAAAGATTCCACTTTAGACCAAGCGATCCACTGGGCAGATGAAGTAGAGTTCATGTTTCTTGACATCGTCATATAAAGGGATAATGTGGTCAGCTCTATGCCCGGCCGCCTTTACTTTCCTTAAATTACGTGGGTGGATTTCGGGACGGTCTACTTACTAGAGCCCGGATTTGAATTCGAGGCCTTAGGTCTACCGCTCTACCGCCAGACCACGTCGTCCCATTGCTAGTATACAAACATATACGGATTTGTATCAACAGCCTCCTCTCACACAACTAATCCAATGCAGCATACAACTATTGTGATATTATAAAGGAAATGTGTAAATGTCTGTGGATCAATTTAGCCCTAGACTTCGACACAGGGAGCTAATCAGCTATGAACTTGAATAAAATCTCGATGAGGTTTTAAGTTACATAAAGCAGTGGTGTTATAGCCCTTGATATAATATGGGGATTACTCGAAATGTTGGGAGTAAGGTAGGGGGTTGGTAGGTATTACCTATTACCACTAAATCCCAGACTTTTGTGAGAAAATAAAATTGTATAGAGCGGCTTACGTGGATTATTTACGGGAAATTATTCAGGCAAGAACTTTTTGTATCACATATAACAGCAGGACATTTGTATATCATATAACAGTAGGACATTTGTATTAAACAGCAGGACATTTGTATCACATATAACAGCAGGACATTTATATCACATATAACAGCAGGATATTTATATCACATATAACAGCAGGACATTTATATGACATATAACAGCAGGACATTTGTATCACATATAGCAGCAGGACATTTGTATCACATATAACAGCAGAACATTTGTATCACATATAACAGCTGGACATTTGTATCACATATAACAGCAGGACATTTGTATCACGTATAACAGCAGGACATTTATATCACATATAACAGCAGAAATAAAAATGGAAGGGATGGGGTGCAAAGATTAGGTCGCTACGCCTCTGTCGACTGGTCCTCGGCTACAAGACAGATCTGTAGACAGAAAACCTGTCCTCTCGATGACCTTGCTGTGTTATAAACTGAAGGGTAGGGGGATAGGGACACCCGGACAATATTCCCCTGGACTTTGTACCTATTGAAATAATTACGATGCCTTTAGCACATTATTTAATTTTTTTTTCATCAAAAAGCAACGCCGATTGCAATGTAATCAGAAGACCGTATGAAAAATAAACCGGGAGTGATCTCCCCTGAACTTTCTCGAATATTCTTATATAACTTGGAATATAGACATGATTTTTAATTACTTAAACTTTTAAAAATAGAATAGAGTCTCATAGAAAAAAGAATTGCGCACCAAGCGAACGCCAAATAAAGATGTGCATAATAGTGCGCAATATTATTAGTACTTTATAAATTTACATGCGTTTTTTGAGAAATCGGAAATAGCGTAAATTAGTACTTCCGGTCAACGGAAATTACTCAAAATATGATAGAAGGTAGAAAATTAGATCTTTTACTCACATGTGAAATTTCATTTATCTATCTGAAATAGTACCCAAGTTATAGGCTTTTGAAAAATTCAAAGTAGAAAAAGTACCACTTCCGGTAATCGGAAATCGCTCAAAAGTTGATACGCATCTACGACTCTGATAAAATACATATATATGAAATTTCATCAACCTAGCTGTAACGGTACTTAAGTTATCGTGTTTACACACAGACAGACAGACAGACAGACATACAGACACACAGACACACAGACATACGGACAAGATTGCAAAATTATGTTTTTCCGTATCAGTGAGGTGTAAAACGTCGAGATTTGTAAAAATCTCGATTTTTTTTTTGCACGATTACGACTTTCTCTATACTTCGTATATACGAGAAAGTAAAAAAGGAGGGGGGATGATCGAACATCGAGGGTTGAGGGGGATAGGGCGGGGGGGGGGGGGGCTGGCAGAACAGTCACAACAGATTTCTTATTTTTAAAGAAAAAAGAATTGCTCACTAAATAAACAGAAAACAATGTGTGTATAATAGTGTGGAATATTAGTATTGTATAAATTTATATGCTTTTTTGAGAAATAGGAAATTGCGTAAAGTAGTACTTCCGGTCAACGGAAATTACTCAAAATTTGACAGAAGGCAGATAATTAGAACATTTACCTACACGTAAAAGTTCGTCTATCTATCTGAAACAGTACTCAAAATATAGGCTTTTGAAAAACCAAAAGTAGAATAAGTTTCACTTTCGTTTACCGGAAAATGCTGAAACGTTGATACAGAACTACAAATGTGGTGTATTACTTATAAAAGAAATTTCATCAACCTTATTGTAACGGTAATCAAGTTATCGAGTTCACAGACACCCAGACACACATTCACACAGACACACACTGACAGACAGACAGACACACACACACACACACACTCAGACATACGGACAAAATCGCAAGACTATGTTTTTCCGACCCATGGAGGTGTAAATCGTCGAGATTTGGGAAAATCGCGATTTCGATAATGTTGCTCGATTATAAAACTTCCTCTGCACTTCGTATACGAGAAAGTAAAAAAACAACCCACCAGCTACCGCTAACATCCGCTGTCACCTCCTCCTACTCCGACTATAACTACAGCGACTAACACAAACCCTACATTAGGCGAGGAAGGCTCTAGGATCCGCCCTAACCAAATCCACCCCAGGATTACAAAACACAACAGTAAATATCGATTAGATTCCCCAACTTATTATGAGATTTAAAAAATAAAATAAAAACAACACTATAAACCAGCGTTACAAATCCAATCAATTATTGCATCGAGTTGATAGTTTGGTTCGCACATAAATGGATACTAAAAGATGAAAACCCGAACGAGAATGTTGGCGCTGATTCTGTTGGTAGCCTCGGCGGGTACGTACGTGTCGATATACTACAGCAACAACCCCCTGTCGTTTACGTCGAGCCCGTTCAACTTCACGACGGCATGGAGACACAATGGAAGGAATCACACAACAGACCAAGGTTTGTTTTCTTCAATATTACAATACTTAAGCACATATCAAATACTCCACCTACATTCATACATAGTTATAAACATACACCTACAAACACACACATACACACTTATATTTATACATATTAATATTATATATATATATATATATATATATATATATATATATATATATATATATATATATATATATATATATATATATATATTTATGTATAAATCAATTATGCATGTATTTACACACACACACACACTCATATATATATATATATATATATATATATATATATATATATATATATATATATATATATATATATATATATATATATATATACAACGCCAGACAGCGATAACAACAGTTTAGAACAACTGAAGAAACAAGTGAAAGTTCTAATTTGGGTAATGACGTCACCACAGAATCTTGACACCAAGGCTAAAGCAGTTAAAGAAACTTGGGCGTCTCGGGCTGTAAATGTTCTTTTTATGAGGTAAGGACAAAATAGTTTATAATTGGAGTATTATAATCCTTATTACAGCTCCAAGACCAGCTTAATGTTATAATTCTTGTTGCAACGCCCAGATTAACTTAATATTATAATCCTTGTTAAAATGCACCGATTAACTTAATATTATAATCCTTATTACAGTTCCCAGGCCAACTCCAGCTTCCCGGCTGTAGGTTTAAATGTCAGTGAGGGGAGAGAATACCTGACAGTTAAAACAATGAAAGCTTTTACCTACGTTTATCAGAATTACTTTCACCATTATGAATGGTTTATGAAGATATGTACAGTGTCATTATATTGTAATTATACACGTGCATTATGCTGCATCACTTTGTGTTTTAGTCATAATTAAGTATTTTATCTATAGTTAATAAAGTAGTGTTCCCCGTGACAATAATAAATGTAATGTTATTATTTATAATTAGTTGTATTAATAGATTATGTTTGTTCTTACCGATTCATCACAACTTTTTCTTAATTATTGTAAACAGTTCATGAATGACCACTTCATTACACATTTGCATTTTCAGGTATAAAAATAAAAATTTTATTAGACGTTTTGTATTACGTATAAGTAGACCATCTTAAATTAATGAAAGTGGGTTACAAGTAAGAAAGAAGTATTACTATTGTAAATCTGTATCAGTCCTGATGAAAACTGTAATACTAAAGCGAATATGCAAGGCAAACTGACACAGTAAATTACATTCTGAGTTTAAAAATTTTTTTAAAGAAAAAAGCGCTCAGTTCTAAGAAGAAGCGACCTAAGCTTGAGACAGGTACACATTATAGCTGGGTTTACTCAGAAGCATCGAACTCGAGACTTATGGGATAGCAGTCATACTTCTACGATGCCCAAATGCTGTTGTTTGTCACAGTTTACTCATTTCGTTGGCATATACATTTTGGTGTAAATTTTAAATGATATTTAATTTCAACAATTAGGCCTATATCAAAATAAATTGTGCAACTGTATACCAGAATTCTGTTACCTGATCTATAAAGCAGTGGCGTAGGCAGGGGGTGGGGGGGGGGGTTAGGGGGGGTCATAACCCCCCCCCCCATAGAACCCTCGGTATATATATATAAAGTATGAGAGGGGGTGCAAATCGAAAGTTTGAGGGGGGTGCAAATCGAAAGTTTGAGGGGGGGGGGGGGCAAATCGAAAGTTTGAGAGGGGGGGGGGTGCAAATCGAAAGTTGATCCCCGGGTAAAAATTGGACCCCCCCCCCCTTGAGGCGATCCTGGCTACGCCACTGCTATAAAGGAAGAATGTGACATGTTCTCTTGTACAGGTGGATGATGACACGTACGTCATAGTGGAAAACTTGCTTCACTTCCTGTCAGACAAAAACCAATCAGAACCCGTTTATTTTGGGCAGACGTTCAAACCTTTTGTCAAACAAGGATACAATAGGTAGTTTAAAACGTCTTTTTTGTTAAATATTAGGAAAAACAATTTCTAAAAAAAATTAGATAACCAATGAGTGACAGATTGCTAACCAGCATCTACCGGGTTTTTTTTTCTTCTTCGTTCTTTATAGGGCTGGTAAGTAGGTCACCAACCAGCTCTACGGCTCAATTAAACCTGCATGAGCCATAGAACTGTTTATTGACCTACTTACCAGCCCTATTGTGATGCAAAGGATGGGATTTCCTACAACACAATTATCTGTTACGTGTTAACATGTTGTGTACCTTATAGTCCGCTGAATACGACTTCAGTCTGTTTTTATTGATGGATTTGCTTCCGTAGCCTTTTTCATCCAAGAATAAACAACAAGGCAGCAGTTGTTTAATTTTGGAGTTATCTATCCTAGATGAGTTACTGGCCCTAACTAACGAGAGTTATTTGCGCAGGGTGCGAACCCGGGACTTTTAGAGTTAGCAGTCAAGCGTCCACCTGCCCAACCACGCGTCCCCTGACCGGGTTTCACGTCATGCAATGTGTTCCAGTCTATCTAGGACATAAGAGAGTAGTGTCGTAACTCTAGTGATACGTGTAAGGACATACACACACTGTATTTTAACTCTCATACCGGCAATATTTTTACGTTTTGCCGGAATCCTACAGTAAAGTTCCCCTTCCAAACCTGATAGTCTATGGGGCAAGTGAAGTAGAGTTCATCTGTTTCTGTGACCTCAGCATATGAAGGGATAGTGTGGTCAGCACTATGCCCAGCCTTTTTACTTTTCCTAAAGTGAGTTAGGTACCCCTCGGTAGACTCATGGGACGGTCTTCTGACTTGAATCCGGATTTGAACTCGAAACTTACGGGTTAGCACTCTAACTCTCTACCGCCAGGCCTTTTTGAGCTTGAAGGCTCACAAAATTACACAAAAAGCCGGAGATACAACATGTACAGTATGTTTGTATGTCGTGTTGTGATATTTATGTTAATCTCCCAGCGGCGGCGCCGGCTATGTACTGAGCAAGGAGGCGCTAAGAAGACTGTGCGAAAGGGACGACGCTGAGAAGTGTATCAAAACAAACACCGACGAAGACGTGGAGATGGGGCGGTGTCTTGAAAGTCTGGACGTGAGAATCGGCGAGAGTCTCGACCAGTTCGGGAAAACCCGCTTTCATGGCTTCCCGCTACAAACTGTAATGGATAGCCACTGCGACACGGGATATGAAAGCTATGACTATTATAACTGCTCTAATAAGGTACGTTTCTTGTTTCACTGTTGATCAACCATAGCCAATATTTTTTAATGATTTCTGATATTTTTCATACCATTTTTTAGTTCAGTTTTTTAAGGTATTTTATCGATTTTTTAGATTTAAGATTTATTATTACTCTCAAATATCCCTATTTACACAAACAATTTACACCGATATACTCAGTAGTCTTCTAGTTACACACAAGGTCCCCTAGCTGTGTGTCTTCCAGACTTTTTTCTCCTGGGGGGTGGGGGGAGGGGCACTTAATATTTTTAGGGTGGGGGCTGACTTCCTTTTCCGGGGGGAGGGGGGAGCGGACACTGGTAAAAGAATGTTTTCTACATACATTCCATTTCATTCAGGGGGGGGGGGTAGACTGGGGGATGGGCGGAAGATGCCTGGAAGAAACTCTGTCCCCTAGTTACACACGGTCATCTACCTACACACACACACACACTCTTAACCCTCGTATAAATGTCACTAGTTACTCTAGTTGAATGATCCCAACCTTGAGTGTCTGTGTGTTTACAGGGATGGCAATGGTTGAGTGACTACGCCGTCACGTTTCACTACATCTCACCAATCAACATGTTTCAACTGGACTATTTCATCTACCGCTTGAGGCCGTTTGGAGTCTTCAATCGGCTGGTTGTCTAGCTCCCACTGTCATGTTATCAAATTTAGCCATGTCAACTCATGTTTTTGATCAAAGCAACAGATATTGTGTTTAGTACAAACATTTTCAAATGGGGTACGGCTACTCGACATTAGGATGTATCCATGATTCTACTTTTATTTACCATACTCCTAGTCCTTTTTATTGCTATTAATATATATATATATATATATATATATATATATATATGGGAACAGGGCATCCCCCCCCCGTCACAGGGGGGGGGGGGGAGGTAAATTCGGGGGGTAAAATGTCCGGGGGGGTAATTTCCGGAGGGTAATGTCCAGTAGCCATATATATATATATACTTATATATATATATATATATATATATATATATATATATATATATATATATATATATATATAAATATATATATATATATAAATATATATATATATATATATATATATATATATATATATATATATATATATATATATATATATATTAAACATACTGACATTCAAACAGATTTGGACAAGTATGTGAAGTAACTTTTGTTATATTTAACAGTTCTTTGCTCTGAATGTCTACCAGAGTAAATGGTGTGTTGATCTAGCATTTTGTTAAACTTTTGTTTTTCAATCTGATAGTCACTGATTGAAGTAGAGGAGTTAACCCAAACGGCATCTGTTGGTTGAGATTCTGACTGCAAAAAAAGGAAACAAAACTATCGAGATTTGTTTAAAAATGTCTTTCTATGCATGTGTGTATGTGTGTGTATGTATGTCTGTGAATGCGTATGCGTGTGTGCGCGTATGTGTGTGTGTGCGTGCTTGTGTGAGTGTGTGTGTGCGTGTGTGTGTGTGTGTGTGTGTGTGTGTGAGTGTGTAAATGAGTGACAAAAACTGCTGTACTAATTCCTCTGTATATTATTTTAGTATTCGCTCCGTTTATAGCAGATAATGGTATTTCCGTGTGCCGGAAATAAATTACGATTTCAACTCCGGAAATTCGAGCGTCCAGTAAGGTTTATTTTAAGGAACTTATAGGCCGTGCAGTAACCATTGGCCGAAAATGATTTTTAATATTTATTTTATTTGTATATATTTTTTTTTAAATCTAAATATGAAATATATGCAAAAGTTCGTGATCGCAAACTTTTGTAAGTGCACTAAAAATAATAAAATAAAATGAAATTTAAAACTATTTTCTTTAAGTATGAAAAGCATTTTAAAATTTTAAAACTACAATAAACTGATCGCTATAATGTGTATCGGAAAAGTTTGGAAAATGGTAGGCGCTTTTTTAAAGCTTAATCGTGATATTTATAGGACTTCAAAGGATTATAGGGAATAAGTTATATAGTATAATTATATAAAAATTAACTGGTACCCAAAAAGCTATTAAAAGTGGTAAGTATTATTATTTATAACAAATTTAATACCCTTACTAAAATTTTAGCAGAGACGCAAGGTTTTATGTTATAATTATAAAAAATAGTTGTACATTTTACTATTTAAGGATAATTTTTTTGTAAATTTTTGTGAGTGAATAAAAATTTGTTAACAAAAGCACAGAAATCGATTTTTCCGTATTGTGTGCATTTCAAAAATACTGTGTTGTCCCTGTCTAGAATTTACACATTACCTACCAATACACACTTCAACACCCCCCCCCCCCCCGGCCCTCGCTTGACGTAACGGTTTTGTTTCCCTAAGTCTCTACACGAGAATCCTTTCAGCCCCAACTTTAGTCAATAGGCCAGGTCAGATTGTTCTAGCACACGGGTCGCCAACTGGTATACTAAACCTAAGTAATTTGAAACTAAACATAAATATTAAGAAGAATTTTTGAAATTCGGCTTCATTAACATCACTGGAATTGTAATAGAGAAGAAACAAAGCGCACTGTACAAAGTTGTTCTCAGTCACGAATCTATGAAATATTAAAAACTAAAACGCCATTTGAGACTAGTCATTCGGAACACACCAAAAATATATGGAGTTCTTTGGTTGGTAAGAAGCTAGTTGCAAACGCCAGAGACTTGATCGAACAGGAAGTTTTCACCAGCATTAGTGCAAGCATCAAATGAAGTCGCGATAGAAAATGCCTAGAAAAAAAGAACAATAGGAGAAAATCTCATCAAACGCTGCATGTACGTAAATGTTAAATAACACATTTTTATCGAAATTAAGCTTTCACCATTCTTTGCTTTTCAAGTTGATAAATCAACAGACATGAGTTCGCTTTCGCAGTTGCTGGTCTGTGTCTATATTCATGCGGATGATAGCAAAGAAGAGTTGCTCTTTTGTAAAGATAGCATGGAGAAAATAAATACCTTTCTTGAAACTGGATGATTAAAATGGGTTAAAACGGCTGTGGGGGTTTGTACGGATGGTGCGCCATCTATTTTTAGCTCAAAATCGGGCTTTCAGAAAACAGAAAAGATTTAGCTCCCTAACCACTGCCCTAACCAATCGACATCAAGAGTACATTGCTAGTATAAGTCGTAAATTATATAAAATCTGGAGCCTTCAAAGAACTGAGCAAAAACATAATATAGATCACGAGGTTCTGCTCTTCTACACTACAGTACGCAGGCTGTCAAACGAAATGTTGTAAATTGTGTTTTTGAATTGAAATCTGAAATCAAATTGTTCATGGAAGGAAACAAGACTTTTTGGTATACTTAAAACGACATAGAGTGGTTAGAGAGAGTATCATACCTTGCAGATGTGTTCGAACATAAAGATAAGCTTAACTTGAAGCTTCAGGGAAAATGAACGAATATTATAATTTTCCATGATAATCTCGGGACATTTTTATCAAAGCTGCAAAATCGGTAAAGAAAATAAATCTCAGAAATATTGTAAATTTGAGAAACTCTGCGGTGTGGTAGATGAATCTGATTGTGAGATAATTAAAATTTTGAAAGAAGTGATTTCTGGGCACATTGAATCTCTTGAAAACGATCTGCATCGCTATTTCTCTGAGCTGAAAAAAGAAGAATCTGCATTTACGCATTACCCGTTCTCTTCTTCCCTTGATGTTGCCAGCATTCCCGATGAATTACAAGATGAATTCTCTGATTAGTAGAATGATTCCGAGTAAGATGAAAAACTGCAGACACAATTTTGGTGTAGTATTCACCATTCATACCCAAACGTAAAAATGATTGACTTTTCGAGAATATATTTTCAACACTATTCTTCGATTAAAAACAAAATTAAGATAATTATAATGACATAGGTTGGCGTTAACAAATTTTTTTAAAAATTAAAAACTTAACCACGAACGTTTAGTGCATAGTATGCAATATTACTCATGCTATTAAAATAGTTATCAAGACTAGTTTATATTGAAAGTCTACTAGAAGATCTTATTTTAGTGCTTATTAATTTCCATATTAATTTCGGCTTTTTAATTCTATGGGGGTCGCGGGTCACTTACTTTTTATAAAAGGGGGTCGCCACTCGAAAAAGGTTGGGAACCACTGTTCTAGCAGAAATCAGACAAAAGCTCTACTGTGTTGTTAATGGCATTTTAAAAAGGGAGATTAATCTCTTAGCCTGCTTGATGCAATCACATGAATGCCCAGCGACACGTATATACGTGTGGTTGATAAAAAATATTGAGTTCAGATTTTATGAGAGTTCAATCAAGATCAATGCTTCAACGCATGTTTACCTGTCAAACATGTGTTTTAACAATCGTCACAAATGTAGCAAAATACACTTTATCAAAATAAACTTGACCACACTTTGCTGTAGGTTTCGACCTCTAAGGTGGGAGGTTAAAATCAAATGTCAACAGACTGCTGATATAAAACTAAAATTTTAGTCTAGAACTTTCTGAACTTGCGTCGTCGATGTTTCAGAGTACGTTCCCTTGTAAAAATGTTTTGTCTTTTAGTTCTATCAGGTAAGATCTATTTAATATTTAAATGTATTAATATTTTCCTTATTTTGTAATATTTTTTTTTTTATTTATACTATTTATTATAATTATTATGATTAGTCAAAAGTACATCGGTAGTGTATTAAGAACATTTTATAATTATTATTACTATTATTATTATTTTTAAAAATTGTTATTATTATTATTATTTTTATTATTATTATTATTATTATTATTATTATTATTATTATTATTATCATTATTATCATTATTATCATTATTATCATTATTTTCATCATGATCATGATCATGATCATGATCATGATCATGATCATGATCATGATCATGATCATGATCATTATCATTATCATTATCATTATCATTATCATTATCATTATCATTATCATTATCATTATCATTATCATTATCATTATCATGATCATGATCATGATCATGATCATTATCATTATCATTATCATTATCATTATCATTATCATTATCATTATCATTATCATTATCATTATCATTATCATTATCATTATCATTATCATTATCATTATCATTATCATTATCATTATCATTATCATTATCATTATCATTATCATTATCATTATCATTATCATTGTCATTGTCATTGTCATTGTCATTGTCATTGTCATTGTCATTGTCATTGTCATTGTCATTGTCATTGTCATTGTCATTGTCATTGTCATTGTCATTGTCATTGTCATTGTCATTGTCATTGTCATTGTCATTGTCATTGTCATTGTCATCATCATCATTATTATTATTATTATTATTATTATTATTATTATTATTATTATTATTATTATTATTATTATTATTATTATTATTATTATTATTATTATTATTATTATTATTATTATTATTATTATTATTATTATTATTATTATTATTATTATATGATTATTATTTTAAGTTGCTTGCAAGATTATTAATATCTTTAAGCTATTGTGAAAATAGTTAAATTACAAAGATCCATTTGACGTATTATATATCAATTTAGTTAATATAACATTTTATCAGAAAAAAAATAATTTTATTTTGTAAATTATTTTTAGGGTGGGGGTAGGATCAGGGGATCACGTCCCCCCCCCCTCCCACACACTGTCAGATTGGACTATTGTTAACCCACCTATATCAGTTAAAGAGCAATGTAGAAAGATGAATCGGCTCTTAAGACTGAACTGTTAAAAATTACCGTCATAGAAGGATGCTGTGTGGTAGACCCCCCAACCACCCATGGACCCCCACACCACCAATGACAACTGTTAAGTTACAGCGATTGGCGCTCTTGTCAGTTTCAACTCAGTTCCGAAATAGCGGATATCACAACAGCACAAATTTACCGTCTCAAAAACTTTTCTGAGCATATAGCCTGTAGGCCTATAAGTTTTTTTTTTCCCGAAATCCTGCCAACGCCCGTGGTGTAAACTGTATCATATAGGCTACATGCCCCTGTGAAATGGCCAAAATGCCTTCCTGTACCGTGTAGTTTTTCAATGATCCAGTCTTGGTGTCCAGCCTGCCCCGTACCGTGTAGTTTTTCAATGTTCCAGTCTTGGTGTCCAGCCTGCCCATGTCTAGGTCAGCCACAGCTAACCTGTTCAGGCTGGCCCTTCATAAGACAAGTGTCGGCTCCTGCGGCCCGGAACGGTTGGGGCCTGGTTGGGTTGAAAGGTCAAGGACATCCTGTGTTAGGACATGCAAGACCAGGTATGTTCGGTGTCTTCTGTCATAGGGTCAAGGTCATTCATGACTAGGTAGGTTCGGTGTCTTCTGTCACAGGGTCATTCATGACCAGGTAGGTTCGGTGTCTTCTGTCACAGGGTCATTCATGACCAGGTAGGTTCGGTGTCTTCTGTCACAAAGTCAAGGCCATTCATGACCAGGTAGGTTCGGTGTCTTCTGTCACAGGGTCAAGGCCATTCATGACCAGGTAGGTTCGGTGTCTTCTGTCACAAAGTCAAGGCCATTCATGACCAGGTAGGTTCGGTGTCTTCTGTCATAGGGTCAAGGTCATTCATGACCAGGTAGGTTCGGTGTCTTCTGTCATAGGGTCAAGGTCATTCATGACCAGGTAGGTTCGGTGTCTTCTGTCACAGGGCCATTCATGACCAGGTAGGTTCGGTGTCTTCTGTCACAAGGTCAAGGCCATTCATGACCAGGTAGGTTCGGTGTCTTCTGTCACAGGGTCAAGGCCATTCATGACCAGGTAGGTTCGGTGTCTTCTGTCACAGGGTCAAGGTCATTCATGACCAGGTATGTTCGGTGTCTTCTGTCATAGGGTCAAGGTCATTCATGACCAGGTAGGTTCGGTGTCTTCTGTCACAAGGTCAAGGCCATTCATGACCAGGTAGGTTCGGTGTCTTCTGTCACAAGGTCAAGGCCATTCATGACCAGGTAGGTTCGGTGTCTTCTGTCACAGGGTCAAGGCCATTCATGACCAGGTAGGTTCGGTGTCTTCTGTCACAGGGTCAAGGTCATTCATGACCAGGTATGTTCGGTGTCTTCTGTCATAGGGTCAAGGTCATTCATGACCAGGTAGGTTCGGTGTCTTCTGTCACAGGGTCAAGGCCATTCATGAGCAGGTAGGTTCGGTGTCTTCTGTCACAGGGTCAAGGCCATTCATGACCAGGTAGGTTCGGTGTCTTCTGTCACAAGGTCAAGGCCATTCATGACCAGGTAGGTTCGGTGTCTTCTGTCACAGGGTCAAGGCCATTCATGACCAGGTAGGTTCGGTGTCTTCTGTCACAGGGTCAAGGCCATTCATGACCAGGTAGGTTCGGTGTCTTCTGTCACAAGGTCAAGGCCATTCATGACCAGGTAGGTTTGGTGTCTTCTGTCACAAGGTCAAGGCCATTCATGATCTTCGAAGCTTGTTCCAAATATTTTGAATTTTGGCAGATGGTTTCACAAGTTTAAAGAGTTTTGAAGGTTATAGATGGCCATATACTGCTGATAGGTTGTTAAATAGGTTGCTGTAACCTTAACTCTCTCTCTGTCTCTAACTATATATATATATATATATATATATATATATATATATATATATATATATATATATATATATATATCATCCATTTATCTATCTCTAACCCAAGACAGAGTTATAAATCTAGCCCAAAAAGTAAAACTAATCTAATTATGACATTCATTTATGAATTAAGCTCTCACTCTAGCCGTGACTCTATCTAGCTCAGTGCGATACTGTCTTGTACTATGGGGACTTAAAAAATTATAATATTTTATGGTATTTGTCTACTGAGGTGTTATTTATCACATTAAAAAAGACCAAGTTGTGATTTTATTGGGGAGGATTACTGACTAAGTTTCAATTTATGTGATATTTAGTACGGTAGACTACTGACTAAATTCAGCCGTGTATTATAACGTGTGATATTTAGTGTTGTAGACTACAGACTACCTTATGCCTTGAACACTGACTACCTTATGCTTTGAACACTAACTACCTTATGCTTTGAACCCTGACTACCTTTTGCTTTGAACACTAACTACCTTATGCTTTGAACCCTGACTACCTTATGCTTTGAACACTACCTACCTTATGCCTAACACTTAAACTTGTATGAAGGTACCTGGGCAGATGTGCGGGCATAATGTACAACAAGATGACCAACTTGTGTACCCCAGCAGCTGGTCTGAGACCACAAGATGCCCCGCCCACACCACTAGAGGGCGACCTCTATCTCAGCACTGGCTGTAACGGCTATCAGAATTTCAAGTAAGTCGGAACAAAACTGTCCCGCTGAATCTGAATCTAATACCAATACATCATTCAGTAGACTTTAACTAAGTTTAAAAATTGTTTGGGTTGGGGTGGAGGAAGGGAGGCTGTTCATTGACCACAAAAATCACGCATGGATCAGAATTTTAAAGAGCTTAGTCGCAATCTCCAAGTGGGTTCATTGTGGCCTTATAAGTGTTTGTATTAAAATAGTCCCAGATTAAAACGTGTATGGGATTCTGCTCATAGAATAGGCATCTTAGGATAATTCACTTAATGTGTAGGCTATATGTATACACATATATATATATATATATATATATATATATATATATATATATATATATATGTGTGTGTGTGTACATCGTGTAGTGTTTCTACTATGTTGTCAAACCTCTCGTGCAGATACTACACCGACTTAATCGAGACAACCTACGCCGCCTACTACACTCAATATAAAAACTTCATCGACGCCGAATCGGCCTGCATGTGTTTGGGCGGCCATCTATTCGTGGCCAAAACCCTGGCCAAGTTTGATCTGTTCAAATACATCGTCAGCTCCACTGGTCGCGTGTGGATAGGTCTGAATGACATGGCGGTGGAGGGGAGGTTTGTCTGGGTCGACGATGGTCAAGAGATAGATCCTCTGGTCAAGTTGAGTATCTTTGATTCGAACCAACCGGACAACTCGCCATGGAACTCAAACTGCGCCTATGGGTCAGTGAGAAGCGGCCGGTTTGTATTGGACGATACAAATTGTACTTACAATGCATTGTTTGTTTGTGAAAAACCTGCCTGTTAAATGGTCCATACATAATTAAGGCCTTGCTGTGTTAATGTGTGGTCAACTTCTTTCAAATATACCGCAACAGATTGAATCAATGTTTAAATATAATTGTCTTTAGTTATAGAACAAGAAATTTACCTTTTTTACCACTTCATGAAAAGAGAAGTGTGTTCATAAAAAAAGACATGCCAATAAAGGTTGACAATCGAAGATAAAATTATGCAGTAAAATTTCGATGATGTATTCTTTTAATGATGATTCAGTAAAACATCAGTAGTTACCTGCCGTTGGTTGTAATATAATTAAAATAATATTTTAAACAGAGACTATTTGCTAATTTTTGTTTTTGGATTTTAAAAAATGCATGATGTGTACTGTGGTAGTTATAACCCTCAGAATATAAGCTATATTTTTGTTGTTATAACTCTTACAATATGAGTCCAGTCTCTTGTCTGTTGTAACTTTTTCTCCTCGTAAACTACATGTCTTCTAGAACAATCTACATTAACTTTTTCTTTTTGCAACATCACAGCCAGTGTTTCTTCCAGGCATCTCATCGAGGAGAGCCCCCCCCCCCCCCCTCGAAGAAAGTCTACTGCCCCCCCCCCCCCCCCTGAACGAAATGGAATTTAAATAGAAAATATATACTTTTAACAGTGTCCGCCCCGGAAGTTTTAGTCCGCCCCCATCCCCCGAAAATTTCAAGGACTCCCCCCCCCCCCCCCCGGAGAAAAAAGTCTGGAAGAAACACTGATCACATCTGGAATGTATTGAGTGGGTCGTAATTAATTCTGTAAGGCTTACATGATTAATTTACGTCTCTTCTTCGTTATAAAGACTGAAATAATCTAATAGTTGATTTAATTGATCTGTTTAATGCTTATTTCACGGATCAATGTAATAACAATAGTTTCCCCGTCATTATCGTAAACACACAGACTCAGAGGTAATTTTTGTTTGTAGGGACCATAAGCCTTCAGCTAGATACTGGCCTAATTATATCACCACATCAAACGTGTGATTATCTGGTCAGCTGGTTGCCTTCGGTGTGTATTAGTGAGATGTAAAGGAAAATTTGATTTTTTTAAAAATTTGAAATGACACCCGATAAAAATAGACAAACAGTTGTAATTCATGAATCAAGTGTAAAAGTAAGTAAAAGTTTGCAACGTGAAATGAATGAAATAATTTCAGTTACAACAACCGATTATTAACAGCGTTTAACATCTATATATTAAGTGTAGAAGTAAGTAATAAGTAAAAGTGATTTTAAAAAAAACTCAGTTACTCTATGACATCACAACATAAATTATAAATATAGGAACATAACACTTTATGACACTTAATATTACACGCCATAGACATCGATTTCTCAATGCTCTTGGCAATATATATATTTTAAATTATGTGAAAATATTTCTCTCTTCTGGAGCTGGATTATTTGTAATGATTCGCTTAGAGTTATCTCCAATTAACTTTCATGGCGGTGACCTTTATACAGGGGCGTTAACTCTAATGGCTTAGTTTATTTACAATTTGTCGTTCCTGATACGTTAAAAATACATTAGAGGGGAGATCATTCTAAATAATTTTACAGTGTTTGGAATCTAAATGACTCGCGTAAGCAAAAAACACATCTTTTGGACTTTACATAAACCCTGTTCTGAAACATGAAACAATCTTCACACACCGTGCTAGATATGTACACAAAATATAACACCTTGTACTACACTCTTAACAATGTCATGACCCAAGTTATCCTTGTACTTGGACACCAGGTAATACCAGAGACCAATCGACAACGGCATGGAGTCAAATATTTACATTTCTAAAACGCTCTATCCCACTATCAAATATGTCAACAAAGTGTTTCGATTTTAAACTACAAATCTGCGCTGTGATTGGTCGTTCGATGATTGAAGCTGCTGTGTTTGCCAGATCAACACACAAGAGATGTGGACCAACTTGAGTTAGCTTGACAAATCCTGGCGTTTGATTGACTACAGTAAATAGTGGAAGGATGTGTTCGTAGTGAGTGTAGCTGCACTAATTGCTGCAGTAAATGAACTTTTTTTTTCGTACTCAGGGTAATGTATCTACATGGTACAATTATCGAACTGTAGGCAGGGGAGGGGGGGGGGGGAACTACGGTGCCGCCAGACACCGCAATGCGGGGGGGGGGGGGTGGGGTGCACGCCATTTAGGGGCCCATAGCCGCCCACAATTAATTTTTTATAGTAAAAAAAAACACTATTTTCTTGCATTTTTGAATTGAAAGTGAAAGCTTTTGTGAATAACAAACAGATCTACTTTTGTAGTGATGTTATGCAGTAGCTAACATATTATTATGCTGTTGCGTAAAAAAATATATATGCCTGAGCTGTACTATGAAAGACAAGCAAACGTTCAAAACGCTTCCATGACTTATTTCCCTTTTTTAAATAGTTAAATATGGGTGTTCATAAGATTCTTTTAATACATTTGTTCTAAACAAATTAAAAAGCAATTACTTCTCTTAATTATTATTTTTTCTAAAAATATATCAATGAGGCGTAAAACGTCGAGATTTGCAAAAATGTCGAAAAACTTCTTGCACGATTACAATACTTTCTCTATACTCCGTATATACGAGAAAGTAAAAAAAAGAATTGCGCACCAAGCGAACGCCGAATAAAGATGTGCATAATAGTGCGGAATATTATTAGTACTTTATAAATTCACATGCGTTTTTTTGAGAAATCGGAAATAGCGTAAATTAGTTCTTCAGGTCAACGGAAATTACTCAAAATCTGAAAGAAGGTAGAGAATTAGATCTTTTACTTTCATGTGAAATTTCATTTATTTATCTGAAATAGTACTCAAGTTATAGGCTTTTGAAAAATTCAAAGTAGAAAAAGTACCACTTCCGTTTATCGGAAATCGCTAAAATTTGATCAGGATCTACGATTTTGATAAAATACTTATATATAAAATTTTATCAAGGTGTTGTCCATAAATGATGTCACGCTTTTTAAGCCATTTTTTAACCCCCCCCCCCCCCCTCCGCCCTACGTCACACATCGTCACAGTGCCGGTATAGAATAAGGCTATAGGTTTTTTCTCATTTGTTTCTGTCGTTGAGACTCTAATAGTTATAAACAGTACAGACTAGCTAACGGAATAAAACCATTTCGATTAATTAATTGCTTAAAAAATTAATATAAGAAAAATTAAACAATAATTTATTTTACAGAGCTAATAATCGTTAATATTATAAAAATGTATCTTCTGTCTTAAAAATTGAAAATTAAATTATTTTCAGCAATACAAATACTGGGTTGCTGAGTTTGATTGTGATCATAGTTATGATTAGTTTTAGAGATTATATGATTAATTTATACACAATTTAGAATTACAGAATATTGATTATTCAATATAGAAAATATTAGGGCAGAGATTACTAAAAGATATAATATAGTATTGTGGAATATAGAATATATTAGTATATTATTATAGAATCTAGGCTATACAGCAAGAAATACATAATAAGATTGCAAAATAAAAAAAAAAACTAATAATATAAAGGCCCATTTTAATCGAATTTAAGACGCACGGGGTCATCCATAAATGACGTCACCCTCGTAGGGGGGGAGGGGGGGGGGGGTCCGTAATTTTGTGACGATGTCTGATGAGGGGGAGGGGGGGGGGGGGGTTCAGATGTTGCGACGTCAAACTTTTGAATTATAAAAAAGCAAAAAAAAAAAACAATGTTAGAAAACGAATTTTAGACGTTATTTCGCGTTTTAGATTACTGTTTTAATAAATTGTAATAGTTTAGACAAGATTTTAGAAAAATATCGATGTTTAAAAAAAAATTCAACTTCAATTTTGAGGGGGGTTGTAGGTTGAGATGTGACGTCATTTAAGGGGGGGTCTGGCTTTTTGTGACGACGTATGACGGACGGGAGGGGGGGGGGGGAGTAAAAAAAGCGTCAAAAAAGCGTGACGTCATTTATGGATGACCCCCACTTCGTTTGCCATATGTTATTACTAATATGAAATTGCAGAAAACATAATAACTACTTTTATCGAATGCATATATAGAACGTGCTATATAATCTTAAGAACATGATTATGTAGTGGAGTAGGTACAAGGTGTGCCAGGGGGCTATAACCCCCATATATATATATATATATATATATATATACATATATATATATATATATATATATACATATATATACATACATATATATATATATACATATATATATACATATATATATATATATATATATATATATATATATATATATATATATATATATACATATATATATATATATAATCCATACAATAGGCATGTCTCTGATCTCTTTTTAACTTATCACTACTGTACTTAAGTAGTACCCCTAACCAGAGGCGTCACAAGTTGGATTCGATTCTTCTCTATATATGGTATATAAGTAAAAGTAGACTGCGGTTTAACCCCGTTCATCCGCTCGCCATAAAACTTCAGGGGAGGTTTCAGCAAAACATCTTTTTTTAATTTTATTTTACAAGGGCCGCGCTCCTGGAGGGTGCAATTTTTCTCTACACGGTTTGTAAAAAAAAAAAAACGGATGCTGTTTGACATCGTTCATCTGAGTGCCGTTAAACTTTGGAGAGTTAATGAAAATACTCCCGAGAAGGTTTCTGCGAAAACAAAAATTAAAATTTATTGTGAGCGTTTCCCGGAGGGTGCGATTTTTGTTAATACACGGCCTGGTGCCCATAATTCCAGCGCGACGATACTAGAACTTGAGCGTACTACATGGCGGGGAAGGGGCCTTACTATAATCAGCGGTAAAAAGCAATAACAGGCGCAGCCTCCGGCGCCCCGGACTTTCCGTAACCCGAAGCGCCCCGTGTTACCTTGTGAACATTATGGCGCATACGTTATTTTTTTTTTAAA